CCAATTACAATGCTTCCTAACATGAGAAAACAAAACCAAAGCTTCCTACTCTTTTCCTTGTGGACCAATGAACACACCTTGTCTTGAGCTCTTATTCAACAAGGGGCAAGCCAGTTGCCAACACTATCTAGTAATGTCAACTCCCTAAGCTACAAAAACACCCACGTCACCAAGTACTAAGTGGGAACAGTACCCATGGCAATCCCGAAGAGAAGAAAATGTGAGCCGGGCTCGGTGGCTCAGCCTGTAATCCCACGCCTTTGGGAGGCTGAGGTGAGTGGATTGCCTGAGTCCCCGGGTTCGAGACCCGCCTGGGCAACTTGGCGAGACCTCATCTCTATGATAAATCAAAAAGTCAGTCAGGCGTGGTAGTGCATGCCTGTAATTCCAGCTACTTGGAAGGCTGAGGCGGAAGGATTGCCAGAGCCCAGCAGGTCGAGGCTGCGATGGCCAGGAGCGGCCACTGCACTCCAGTCTGGGTGACAGAGTGAGACTCCAACTCAAAAAAAAAAAAAAAAAAAGTGATAGGAAAGACTGGAAGCCCTCTGCTGACACCCTGTTGGGCTGTTGGGAGTTGGGGTCAGCCTGGGAATCTTCAGGTAACACTAAGGTATAGCCTTGGTCAGAGGCCCTCAATTACTCCCAAACTTCTTCCAATTCCACGTGATGACTAGACCTCTATGAAAAGAAACTGGACCAGAACAGGGCCAACATTCCCAACACCCGAGGGTGATGGGGAATTAACCAAGTCCTCTCCAGCAAGCCTGACCTCTGCATATTGTAGACCAGCAGCCTCACTAACTGCTTTTAACTGGCTGGCAGAGTTTCAGTAGTTTGTGCTTTAGAGAGAGTAAAAAAACTTGAGGATGAGGATCCTTGGAAATGAAAGTAAAAAGATAGGTCCACTTCAACTCACCCTTCCATTGGGTCCCACATTGGGCACCAAAACTGATACAGATTTTTCAGGTCAGCCTGGGCTTTGAGAGTGTCAGCTTCAATGGGTCAGCCAGCAGAGTCCCAGGGAGTATCCACTTGAGGGGCTAGTAAGCCTAGCCTGGGACGTGTCAGCTCTAATGGGCTGGCAAGCCAAGCCCTGAGAGTGTTGCTGGTTTGGTGGGCTGGCAAGCCTAGCCCCCACAGTGTTGGCCCTAATGGGCTGGCAAGCCAATCCCTGAGAGTATTGCAGCCCCCGGAAGTGTCTCAGCTTCAGAGTCTCGTCTTCTTCCAGTTCAGCCAGCTCCATCAACTGGCTAGTCAGCCTCCAGGGTGCACAGCTCTTCAGCTCCAACAATCTTCTGCAGCTCTTCTTCTGCAGTACTTCAGGTCAGTGTTCTTGTCTCATGCCCAGGAGGAATGAGGGACATGGATGACTGGAAACTGAGAAAGCAGGATTTACTGAGAGGACAGAAAAGTACCCACAGTGGGAGGGGACCCGAGGGGGGTTACCGAGTTGGAGCTGAAACTTGGTGCTTATATAGCCCTAAGACCAAGCCAGTTGGCTAGCACTAGCTGTGAGCTGATTGGTCAGCACTAGTTGTGCTGATTGGTCAGTACTAAGGACCAATTGGCAGGAGGTAGGGGCCTAATGGTGAGCTGATTGGTTGGTACTTGGCAGCAAGCTGACTGGTTGTTTCTCAATCCCAGCAGTGAGTACTTAAGCTCTAGCTTGAGAGGCTCACAGGGAGCTTGCTTACTAAGGTGAGTGTATAAGCCTGAGAGGCCTACTGGAAGTTTGCTACACTGTTACCAGAGGACTTGTCCTGTCTGTCTGCTTAGCCTTTCTCTACCTATCTCCTCTCTCAAAACTACTAGGTAGTTGGATCCTTCATGATCTTAGTTAATTCTATCAATCTATTTGAATAAAAAGCCTCCTATATTGTTTTCTTATCCTTACTATCTGGTAGGGCTGCAGCTTTTTTGAATTTGAAATAACTGTCAAGGCTTTGTCTGATTCTGTGGTCACAGTTCTAGGGCTAAATGACAACACAGAAGAGAAAGTAATTAATACTTTTTGGAATAAATTACATGGGAACAGTACTCTAGAAGAAACTCTTAGTTTTAAAGAATGAACCTGAGGCAAACTTGAGGTCTAGGACGGCCTGAGGTGGGACTGCTACATCAGGGGAATCAACCTTCAGTTTACCTGTTCTTGTAGTTGACACTCTGTAAGGTGCTGAGGTCATTCAGTACCAGTTACTAGCACCTGGTGATCAAAACACAGATATACTTAGGTGTCTTTCTATCAGTTACATCACTGTGCTATTGTGACAACTGAACACAACTGGAAGTTAAAAACAAAAATCCTCATCCAAACCTATTTAACATAAGTACAGGAAAGTTAATGCCTCGTGATTCTGAAATATTAAAAGACAGAGCTAATTTTAGGAAAGGCATGAACTAGCAGCTCAGCAAGTCAAATGCCTACCCCAGATGCAAACACTGTTGCCAGGAACTAGCTTAGTTGAGGTCATCGGTGCCAACTGCATATCTGGATTGAAAAGATCCTCCTTGGAACCAACCCAAACAAAAACCAAGAGCCACAGGAAATGAGAAAGAGAGAATTTATGCTAGGAAGGCATAAAGTCCACTACAGATGACATGAAAAATGGCAACACAACAAAATAATTCTCTTTCTCTCCCTCTGGTTATATATTTGGCATGAGACTATGCTATATTTTGTTTTAAGAATGTTCAAACCTGTTGGGCATAGTAGCACACACCTGTAGTCCTAGTTACTTGAAAGGGAGGCAGGAGGATCACTAGAGCCCAGGAGTTTGAGGCTGTAGTGCAATGTGAATAGCCACTATACTCTAGCCTGGGCAACATAGCAAGATACCGTCTCTAAAAATAAAAAATAAAAAATGGTCAAAGCAGTGCTTTTTAAAATAGCAGAAAAATGGGCAGCAACTTTAAATCCAACAATATGAAGTTAAATAATTCATGGTACATCTATATAAATATTGTATCAACAGTTCTCAACCTATTAGGTCTCAAAAATTCTCTATACTCTTAAAAATCATTAAGGACCCCAGAAAGCTTTTGTTAATGTGGGTTATATCTATCACTATTTATCACTTGAGAAATTAAAGCTGAGACATTTAACTTAAAAATATTGATTAATTTATGTAAAAATAGCAGCTAGGCTGGGTTCGGTGATTCAGTCTGTAATCCCAGCACTTTGGGAGGCTGAGGCAAGTGGATTGCCCGAGTCCACAGGTTCGAGACCAGCCCAGGCAACTTGGCGAGACCTCGTCTCTACAATAAATAAAAAATTAGCTGGGCACTGTAGTGTGCACCTATAGTTCCGGTTACTTGAAAGCCTGAGGTGGAAGGATCTCCTGAGCCCAGCAGGTCGACACTGGGGTGGCTGTGAGCATGCCATTGCACTCCAGCCTGGGTGACGGAGTGAGACTCCAACTAAAAAAAAAAAAAAAATAGCAGCTAGTAAGTCTGTAATATGTTAATATAAATACTTTTTTAAAAACTATATATATATTTAAAAACAGTGAGAACAGCAGCATTGTTTTCCCTTTTGCAAATCTCCTTGCTGTCTGGCTTACCAGATTTGCTTCTGTATTCAATCTGTTTTGATTTTTTTTTTTTTTAAGTTTGAGTCTTGCTCTATTTTGATATGCTGCTTTGGCTAAGGAACATGAAAAAAATCTGACTTTACACAGGTTTGTAGTTGAAAAAGGGAGGAGTATTTTAATAGCCTCTCCAGATAATGGTAGACATTCCTTGCTGAAATCACACCAAACTTGAACAAGTGGTAGTTTCTTCAAGATTAGTTGTAGTGTGTAGTCTGAAACCATAAACAAACTTTTCCCATACTCTGCTACATTAACATCCATTGGTCCATCTTGCACATCGAATGGATTTTTTTACCCACTCATGATTTGTAACGGCATGTATTAGTCATCCAGAAAAGATCGATCCATTGAATTTTGCAGATCTCCTAAATGTAGTCTTTGATATATCCAAAAATCACTTGTGCTCATTATGATTCATCTTATTAGAAAAGTCTTTATATTAAAGAAAGGTGTCAAGCTCCCAGTAGGGGACACAAATTTTCTAAAATTATAAATTTTGCTAGAAATCTTGACTTTTATCACAGGCAACAAATACCATTAGTATGTTGCTTCCTTGAAAGCAACAGGCTGACTTCATTCAATTTTGAGAAAATTTCTGCCAAACACCAAAGACTAAATAAACCATAGTTTTTTGTCAGTCATTCTTTTCAGTACAAACGGCACTCCATGAAAAAAAAAGCAGCTAATTCAATTCCAAGAGTGCTTTTCCTGGAGACAGTCACATCCTCACACAAAGAGCAGAAGTGCTATTACAAACTTGCCACACAGAATACAGACATGCATATTGCAGACACACATGTAGAGGCATGTAAATGCAAAAGAAACAACTAATGAACTGTAGATTACATATTTAACTGGAGTTGCCTCCTGGTAATGGGATGTGGAAAAATGAGAAGGGGGGACTTTTATATTTTAAGTATAGTTTGAGGTTTTACAATAAAAATTCATTCATGTATTATTCATGAAACAAACTAAGAAAACAAGTGGATGCAGGAAGGCAAAAGGGGTTGACTGTTCTGCTCATGGAACCAGGGGTGATTATATTTTCATTATTCACATCTCTGGATTTTCTAGTTCTTCTACAACCATTTCTTCTTTATTAACAACAGTTCTTTTTATTCACCAAAAAAATCAATCAAAGGGTTTGGAATGTATGATGAACCACTTTAAAGTTATATAAATTATGGTTTACCCAACTCTATGTCAGAGTATGGGTTTCAAATATTTAAGTAGTATGTGTATAGCACACATGACTTATGTATAAGAAATATGAGAATCAAATTCTGACATCTTCATAAAATAAAAGTATGCAAGGCAATTAATGAAGTAGAAGAAAGTTTAAAAATACATATTTTTATAATATTCAGTATAAAAGACAGTTTTATTATGTAAAAAACAATAGAAATAGTGTATAAAATACAAAATGTTACCCAGTGCAATTGGTACCCTTTTTAAACTTTTTACATTCTTTTTCCCTACCTACAAGGAACCCAAAATGTGGCTTTATTTTCACTGGTCTGGCCAATACCAGATCAGCAAAATTAATACCATTTAATAATGTGTATAAGAGCTTCTTTAAAAGATAGTAAAGATAATTTGTAAAATAACTATGCTTTCTTACATTTACAAGACAGCATTTTGCCAATATATGAATATTTTAAATCACACATTTACCACATAACTACTAATCTGTTATCTGTATCAAATCACAGCACATTATATTTTCTAAATATACCATTTGTAATAAATAAAGAGATTAGAAAACAAGACAGTAACAATTTCTTAAAGCAATCTTAAAGGAAATCTAACTTAATAACCCATCCTCTAATGTATTCTATAATGCTCCCAGAAAACCCAAATTCTTTATGTGAACTCTGTAAGATTGATTTAGGATGCCAGTCCTTTAGTAAATAGGTGAGTTTTACTTTGTGATTAGAATAAATTTTAAACTGAAATATTACTTCTCACTCTTCAGAAATGAAATATAACTCTCTTCTTATAATACAGCAAGACACACATAATTGCTCTGGTCACTGCCAACTTAATGAAAAAGACCTTTATTTTTTGTTTTGTCCTTTGATTTCTTGCTGATATCCGGTAAAGCCTCATTTCCCTTGGCAAACCATGCAGGTAATATTCTTGAAGTTTCAGATGAAGTCTACAGGAAACAGAAAGAAAAATATTTGTACTATTGAGAATGCATATCAGTTACCAAAAAAGTAGCATAGGATCCCCTACCAAACAAAGCAAAAACAAAATAGTGATATCTATAGAATTTGTTTCTGGGTCAAAAAGTAAATAAATTTAAGAGAGAGAAAAATTACTGTTTCATTTCTTCAGGCAATTACCTGCCATCCCATCATCTATTCTTAAACATTTAAGTACAGACATTCATTTAGTAACTAAAATATTGGATAAGATTTCAGATCTATGCTCCATGGTGTATTTGCTTTGAGTTAACCAAAATAGTGAATTTAATGTTCTGAGGAGGGTATCTGCCTGGGCATGTATACATGCACACACAGAGTTATATTAGGCTCGTGAAAAGGAATATAACTTCTAACATCTACAACAATAGACCAGAAAAGTGGTCCTACTGTTGTTAGCATCTTGCAGAGTGCCTGAGACATAGTAGACACTCAAAAAACATTTGCTGAATAAATGAAAAAAAAAAAGAGTTTAATGTGTATAGACTCTTTTGAGAATCTGTTGACAACTACAAATCTACTTCCTGAAAAAAAGGACAGACATACACATGCACAATACTTTGTATACAACTTTATCAGCTCATGTACCAAAACACCTCTAAACCATAGGTTAAAAGTCCCTGAAGCAAAAAATTTAAGAATACAAAGGCAATGTTTATGTATTAGACCATCTGCACATGAAAAAAATAAAACGATTTTTAAGTAGGTTAGGCCTAAAATGGTAAAAATGGTATACATTCGTGTTATCTCAGTTTGAGTACCAGATTCTCAGAAAAACATGATAAAGAAATCATTCTATCATTCAGTACACCTTAGAATCCAGCAGAGTTAATTTGGTTATTGAAGTATCTGAAGAGTCTTATAACAAGGTGGCCTCATTTACATCATAATGTGTCTGTGAGCGTAAAGTGCAAGAGTATAATTTATTCCATTTCAAGAATGGAGACTATATCTATATATCTTTCATCAACTGCTTATTATATTTTCTATGTTTAAAAAAGGTTTTGAAATATTTAAAAGTAGGAAAACAGCAAGAGATCCTTGGCAGAAGACTGTAAAACTTTGCATTTTTCAAAAAATGTAAAAATTGTTAGCTGCTCAAGCTTAACTAAAGAAATCCAGTATAGAAAAAAAGGCTATTCACTACTTCAGCAAGAGCTGAAAAGAACTGGCAAGAAAAGAACTGGCTAAGCAACTTTGTTCCTGGGCACCTATTTCTAAGCACAGAAGAGAAAACCAAGAGTACAGATGAGATTTATGTATACTATAAGGTACTATAATGTTTGACTAGAAAATAATAAATGTTAGGGATATAAGGAGGCAAGGAAAAGGCATTTTGCTAGTGATAAAATAGGTCCAGGAAATATTTATTTTTCCCAAACGATCTTAATATCAAAATTCCTTGTAGGCTTTAACAACTACAGGTGCTTGCAATTAGAATCTGAATCCTTGAGTACATGGAGGAAAGAACCCAGTTAAGACTGTAACAAGGCCAAAGAGTAAGACATCTGAACAGTAAAAGAAACTCGAATAAGTCTCGTTGTAGCCCCAAACCATAGATTAAGCATGGACTTTGAAACCAGACAGAACTAGGTTTAAATTTTAGTTAAGTCACTTGCTAAATGTATCACCTTATGCATGTTATTTAAGCTTCAATTTCTTTACACAGAAAATGGGAATAATAGTACATTACATCACTGAGTTATTTGGAGTTAAATAAGAATAGACATAAAATATCAAAACATCCTGACTTACTCTTGACATTCATTAACTGGTAGCCAATATGACTTAAAGTATTTTATCATCTATAAGATTTCTATGAAATATGGTCATCAGTATTTATCCTGTAATTATAATAATGCTCTTCACTGAGAAAAGGGAGAAAATGCTTACATTAAGTGTATCTTTTGAGTCTCAACAATAAGTATTTGAAGAAACCTTAACTATGAGGGCTAAGTCACTTAAGAGAAACAGTTCCTTCCAGTGTCTATTTCTTTCATCAGTAGAAGACTAAAACTCCCAGCGATCATAACAAAATTTTAAGTGGCTCTTTATATCTTTTTTGATATTCCAAATTATATTACTAAGCTATTATCATTAAGTTACAAGTAGAAAACAATACCTCATTTGCTGATTATATATGCACAAATATATGTAAGCAAATACAGAAATATGCAAGTTACTTTCACACTTAATTTCCTCTATAACCAAGATAAATCCAAACATTCAGTTATCAAGCTTGATGTATCTGTCATGAAAACTATTTTCTTAAATCAATTTTACTTGTGAATATGAAACTATAAATAAATCTTCTATTTCTGGATCATTAAATGGCTGATTCCAAGAAGTTGGTGAATTGATGTGACTTTCATTTTTTGGTGAAAAATTACTAGGATATTTTTCACCAACTCTTAAAATTTTTATGGAATACAAAATAATTTACCATGCATTATTTTCTTAGTCAAAGAAAAAAAGAAACCCTATACCTAAAAATGTCGAGCTTAAGAAAATTCTTATTATTTAAAGTTCTGAATCTGAACAGTAATGTTAATAATATTACCCATAAAGCATTTTTATAAGTATCTTAAAACAGCTCATGAATGATAGTGTATATTGTTATTTGTAATCAAACTCAGTGGCAGGGTAGGAAATATTATACACTTTATCTCTTATGTAGTCAAGAAAAATGAGAAAAAAAGTGATACAGGAGGAGAGGGTAGTGGGAAGATGGTGGCAGTGGAGTTTTTTAACCTTTCTGAATTTCAGAATTAGAACTAGATAGCAAAACCAAAAATCCATCATCTACACGGACAATGAAACTAAGCTTAAAGATATCCTTAGCAAACCCAAACTACAAGCATGTAAGGGCAAACCACTGACAGCCATTAGGACCTGCATGGTCAAACATCTGTATGGGAGAAAGCAGAGGCAAGCAGTGAGGTGTCTGAGAACAGGAGAATCCCAAAATAGCATACACATATACACTGGATAGATTAATTTGAGAATAGCATCTGAAAATGAGAAGGCTTTTGTACAGCCCCACAGCAGGTGAGTGAAAGGAGTCCACAGTGGTCTCTTAAGTGACTAGAGCGGCTGGCTCCTCTGAATTCTGGGACTAGCCTAGGTTGCTTTCCAGGATAAGGGCTCACACTCAGGAGAAACCACTGGGGTTAAATCAAAATCATGCAGTACAGGTACAATAGAGACAAAAAAAGAGAAAGCCCAGATAAAAATGGTAGAGTATATCTCATAAGCCAAGTTCCCATATTTTGAACATTACACAAAAACAGTATTAGAGAGATTGGGAAGTTGGGAAAGCTATCCTGAACCATGCCCTTTTAAAAGTGCAGGAAAAGTAATTTCACATGAAAATAAGCAACAGAAAAGTATCAAGGTCAAATCTCAGATACCAGAAAGACTTGCTTAGGTACTGAACAAAACTGTAACCCTTTGAAAGGAACTGGAACACATTTTAAAAATTATCTAAAACACAAATGAATATCATAAATCAAAATCAGAGAATTCAAAACTGAGGGGAAAACTCAGGAGAAAAATCAGAAATAACAGAAAACATATATAGACACGAATACTAAACTATGTGGAACACAGTAATAAATACAACAGATAATGTCCAAAATGAAATAGAAGGTTAAAAAGAAGAAAAAATGTATTTTATTTTATGTATGTTTTGTTATTTTGTAGACACAAGGCTCACTATGTTGCCCAGGCTGCTCTTGAACTCCTGGCCTCAGGCAATCCTCCCACTTTGGCCTCCCAAAGCACTGTGATTACAGTCATGAGCCACCATGCCCAGCCCAAAAAAGTTTAAATTAAAGAGAAATGAGGAAATAAAAAGAATGCATGAGAAGTGACAAATACTGAAGCAAGGTAAAGAAGATCAAACATAAAAGTTATCATGGAAGTTCTTGAAGAACTACAAAGGAATGAAACAAATTACTAAAAAGCATAACAAAAGTAATTTGTTCCTATAACATTATTCTTTATCAAAAGCCTCATAATTTTAAAATGAAATAGGCTAAGGGATATAACTCAGGTCAGTAGAGAGACAAATGTCATCTGAAAGATTCTGAAACTAGGCCTCTCACAGACTCTACAGAAATAGGAGCAGCTTTCTATACAAGGAGGCCAATGAAGAAAGAATGCTTTGGATGCTCACTCACCTCTTAATCTACTTCCCAGTCCCAATACCCTTGTTCCCCTAAATAGGAAGAAAGGCTAAATTAGGTCTACCTTCTAGAATCCAGTAGCCTTAAGATTCCTTCCCTCCTACCCTGCAAAAAATCTCCCCACCCTTGTTGGCATCTGATATTACTTAAATAGGGGGAAAGCAAAATGTTAGTATATTGTTAAAATAATATTTTACTATTAATATGCTTTAATATTAAGGAAAAATAACAAGTTACATCTTTTGCTGTATTGGACAGGTAGAAACTGGGAAAAAGTAAGAGGGTCTTAGTCATCTGGTATAGATTATGAAATAAAAGGCTATGCAATAGAAGCTAAATTTCATTAACTCTACATAAAATATATTTTCTTTAATGTTCCTCTTAGAACTAGTTCAATTATAAACAATATAAATATTTCCAATTAATTAAATTTCATTAGGCTATCTAGGACATGACTATATACAAACCTAAATCAAGTAGAGAATTTAAAAAGACCAGTTCCCTTATTTTTAAAGCTACTGAAAAAAGTAGGAATTTGTTTGACATCTTAGAGATTGTCTTTGAACTAAAATGGAGTCCCTAATCCTTTAATACAAATATTAACAACTACCTACTACCCCATTTAATTTACCAACTAGGAACTAAAATAATTTTTAGTTAATTATTAGTTTTCAAAAACTTTGATCATGAAGTCATGTAATTTTAGACCTAGAAGATACTGAAAGTCAAATTTTCAAATTTATGCAATTATTTAATAGAGTCATGTTGTTAAAGAATAGTCTCTGATTATTATTTATTAATCTCATACAATACAAAGAGTAATTATTTTCAAAACATTTAATTTTTATGAAAGATATCAGGTAACATAATAGTAAATATGTAGTGTTTCTCTGATTATGCAAAAAGCACACTGGGATATGCTCAGAATTATAAGCCACAATAAGCTGTGTATCCGAGATACTCAGCATAACAGTAACAGAGCATGATGAATGACAGAATGATAAACCAGTTTGGGAGACTATTTATAATAAATTTGTCTTCATTTTCATTTTTATGCAATTAGCATAAATTTCCACATACTTAAATCTATTAACTATACCCTCTAAAAGAAAGATTTCCGAGATATATCAATATAAGGTACAGGTAAAATTTAAGTTGACATTCTACACAATAAGCTAAATAGATGGATTAAAGTCCTCTTTTACTGTCTTTTTAAAATCTATTTTCTCAGACCATATTTATGACAAGTAAAGGAAATAGCACACACACAAAGAAAGTAACCTTAGAATTTATAGTGGGACTCTGTGGGGGGAGGGGAGCCATATTTCATCAACAAGGGTACCTGCATAATGAACATTTGTATACCTAACCCTGAGTTGTACCCCACATCTTTAAAATAAAAAATTAAAAGTAAAAAAAAACAAACACCCAGCCTTCTAGTATTAGAATAAACAAATTGAACAAACAGATACTGCATGAAATTTGACATATAATTAACACCTGGGTATTAGTGCCCACTTCTTCCTTGCTTCTCTTAGAACTTGAACAACTCTCTTCAGAGTTGGGGAAGCATCTCTTATTGGAGTCACATGAAGGCTGGCGTAAGAGCTGGCTGTGATGGTCATTTTCAAGGATCTCAATTGCCATGTAGATGAGGTAGGTGTCAATATCTTCAGGTACTAATGTTCTAATTGGTTTAATTTTACGCACATCTGTAAACAATAAAAAAATTCAATTTAAAAATAAATTATAGAGAACATTTTAGAGAACCTAGGAGGCTGAGATAGGGAAAATATTTTGTAGAAAGGGAGGAGGAGGGTTGGCAAAGAAAAATTTCCTCTTTCAAATGCTGATAGCCCTAAGAAAGAAATGGAGTAAAAACTCTAAGCTGTATTACCTGAAGCTTCTGCCTCCAAGACTCAAAGTCAGGTCAATACTATTGACTTTGCATAAATTATGTTTCAAACTGTCTTTTGTGTACTGCCCTGAGAATCAAAACAACCATTCACAGAATTGCTTCTAAATGAAACTGTGCTTCAAATTCCAAATATCAATTATATATTTTTTTCTTAAAAACAAGTTATTCTCATCACTTCTTGGCCTTTTGGCTTAGACCAAGTATAAAAGTAATTTATGCCTTAAATACTTGTAAATACTTGTAAATACGAGTTTAATAAAAAGGAACTTTTCTATGGTTCTTATTGCATAACAAAAGATATCAGTTATTTAAAAAGCTTATTAACTAGATTAGGCTTTTGGAAAAATATGCCTTATTTTCAAAAACAAGAAACTTTAAAATTTTTGTAGCTCCACAGAACTAACTCACACCTCTTCACACCGTCTACCAATTATGAAGCAGTCTCCTCCAGGCAGGCCACTATTAATGTCTCAGCACTTCCTTCTGACGTCATATTCTTGTGCAGTGCTCTGGAGTATGGTAACACTAAGCAGTTTAGAACCTACTCACTCAGCTTCATGTAATTTACAAAACATATCAAACATTTCTGACAGATCAGAAACCAAATATTTTCAATGCTAGCCTGAAAGGTGTTCTTTAAATTACTGCAGTTTAAGGTTTATATTCTCTTTTCTTCCAAAGATCTTAGCTTGCTCTTCCAGGACTTCCCCAAAACACTGCAGTCAAAAAAAAAAAAAAAGTGGGGGCACAGGAAGAGAAGGTTACAGAGCTAATATAAACTAGATCAGTGGGTTATCTAACTAATTTCATTATTTAAGCTTTAAAATGTAAGATTAGTGCTAAGCAAAGTCTTGGAAAGGATAAGATTACCTCTACACACAATAAAATCAGCACTATGACTATCATCTATCAATCCAACTAAAGCAATTGTCCTGTGGTCATTATACTATCCTAATGCCACTGAAATTTCATCAATTTTACTATTTTATCTTTTTTAATAGTGAATAGTATTCTGTTGTATGTGTGTATCAAAAGTTACTTTGAGTTCCCTTTCATCTATCTTCAGTTTTTCTTTGAAAAAAAAATCCTATGAAAATATTACACATATCTTTCCATACTTTTAGATTCCTGGAAGTGAGATTGCTAGTCCAAAGGCTATGCACATTTGTATTTTGATATATATTTCCAAATCACCTCTAGACCTGTGTGGTACAATACAGGAACCAGTAACCACGTGTCACTACTTAGCATTTGAAATGCTAGTAGTATGACTGAGAAATTGAAATCTTAAGAGCAGGGAATCTTTATTAACTCAAAATTAAATTTAAAGCCTGACAGTATTCAATTCCATTATCAGAAATTTTTAAAATATGTCTGAAACAACTTGGGCATGTTACTTTGTTCAACTATAAATTTTATCAAAGTTAAACACAGATAAAGTATTCCCAGCTAACATGTAGCATCAGAAGATATGCTGTAAATGTAAAATACATACTTGATGTCAAAGGCTTATTATAGAAAAAAATACATAAAATATCCATTAATAATTTTTGTACTGATTACAAGTTAAAATAATAAAAATTTAAACACACTGGGCTAATTAAATTATATTGTCAAAATTATTGCATCCATTTACTTTTGTAAATGTGGCTTCTAGGAAATTTAAAATTGCATATGTAGCTCATATTATATTTCTGTTGGATAGTGCTGCTCGAGAACAACCATATAAAATTTCCCACACTCTAAGTGATACAACCACACTGAAAAAATTCACAACATCTTATGAGTCATTATAGTGTCATGGGTTGAACAAATTATTTCAAAATAAAAGGTGAGATATTTTGTTCCATTTTAAATAATTTATTTCTAAAATGAGAATATCTTTGTTCATAAAATTATGATATAGAAACATCTGCTGCTTTATTGCAATGTTAAGTCACTGATAATGATTTAATACATAAAGTTAATGCAATGCATAGATATTAGAAAATTCCATATTTTCTTATACATTTCTATAAGTTCTCTTTAGAATTCCATGTTAAGTTCATCCTGCATTACATATAGGCAAATAAGTGGCATCTAACTTTAAAGGTGTATCTTATTTTGCTCTAACTTCCCATGTAAATAAGTGCTAAAAAGAGCTACTGGAGAATTGAATGCTAACACTGGCTGCGCTCCTTCAGTGCTTTAAAAGAGATCACATTACCTCTATTTTCGTGGCAGGTCCCTTGGAGCAACTCTTAATTTTGCAGTTACATGCACATAAAGAATGGGAGAATGAAGTTATTCAGAATATAAATATTCAAAATTCTTTAAAATATAGTGCTACCACTGTACTCAAGTCTGGGCAACAGAATGAGACCCCATCGCTTAAACAGAAATAAAAGGGCTCATGATTATCACAACCTTCTTTAGTTCCTCTATTTTGGCTTTGGAAATGGGCTACAAAAATATACTTTTTCATATTATATGTGAAACTTACATACAACACAGAAAGAAGTGTGTTTAATAAGTAAATTTTAAAATGTTCTCTTTCTTTATAACTTCAATTTCATATTTATCTTTGAATAAAAATGTACTTACTGTTATGCCCTGTCTATGGTAGTACAAAAATTTTTTACTAATGTTTTAGTCACTAATGATTGCCAATATTTTTCTCATCTTCTTAACATTTGTTGAATCAGGCTGTTGAATTATAAATACTTTTTCCTTTTTTGTATATTCTGCTTGATTTTAATATTTCTTAATTTAAAAAGCTATCTAACATCAGAAATTGAAATTGCTAACCTCAGATTGTAGAGAGGACCAGATACAGTAGAAGGTCTTTAAAAACCGTAGCTATATAAAGATATTAAACTGAATATAAAGAAGTTAATTTATTGTACTCATCAAGTTAGCTGAATCCTATATCAGGATTATAAATTGCATATTTCTTTAAATCAGCTGGTAAAACAACTTTAACATGATATAATCAAAAGAAAAACTTGCTTGGGCATTAATCTTAGACATGAAATTAAAAACTCTCTAGGCCTTATATTCCCATCTCTGAAAGAGGGTGAGAGCAGAAAAGAGAAAATGCAATGATTTCTAATTTATTTTCCAAATCTAAAGTTTTGTAACTTTATGAATGCATGATTTAGAAAGCAAATTCACAGTGCCTCAATTCTTTACCATAGCAAATAACACAGATGCTGTTGATGCTAGACTAAATAATATAATCTTAAATCTTCCTTTGCCATTTTCCCATGCCAATAATAAAGTGAGATTAGAACACCTATTTATGTCATGAAGAATATTTGTCCAATAATTCTTTAGTACATGCACAGACACAACAGATCGGTATAACCTGCCTGAATTCTTGAAGTTGTATGTTTCTATAAAACACAGTTTTTGGAACCTTCCATTTTATACACTTATTAATTTCATATATTCTTAAATAGCTATTAAAAGAGATAGAGTATTTTAAAAATCATATTTAGACTGTATTTTTAAGATGTCATAAAATTTTACTATCTACTTCTTCAATTATCATCATGTTCATCACCACCACTTACAAACTACTTACCATGTGTCAGGATTTTCTGTACAGTATCTAATTTACACTCATGGACCACACAATGACATTTCAGTCAAGGATGGATCACACATAGGAGAGTGGTCTCATTAGGATATAATAGAGCTGAAAAATTCCTGTCACCAAGGGACACTGTAGCCATTGTAACACCATAGTGCAAAGCATCCCTGATGTTTATGGTGATGCTGGTGCAAACAAACCTACTGTGATGCCATTATGTGCAAAGGTGTAGCACATACAATTATGTACAGTACATACTTGGCAATGATAGTAAATGACTATGTTACTGGTTTATGTGTTACTACAGTACTATATACTCTTTATCATTATTTTACAGTGTACTCCCATTTATTTTTTTTTAAGTTAATTGTAAAACAGCTTCAGGTAAGTCCTTCAGGAGGTACTCCAAAAGAAGGCATTGTTACCATAGGAGATGGCAGCTCCCTGCATATTGTTGCCCCTGAAGATCTTCCAGTGGGACAAGATGTGAAGGTGGGATACAGTGATACTGATAATCTTGCCCCTTTGTGGGCCTAGGATAATATGCATGTTTGCACTGTTTAACAAAACACTTTAAAAAGTTAAAAAATAAAACAATTTTAAAACCGAAAAAAGATTATAAAATGAGGACATTAAAAAGAAAATATTTTTGTACAGTTATACAATGTGAGTTACTACAAGAGTCAAAAGTTTTAAAAAATCAAAAGGCTTATAAAGTCAAAAGGTTACAGTAAGTTAAAGGTAACCTACTGTTGAAGAAGAAAACATTTTTTAAAAACTTAGCACTTTGGGAGGCTGAGGTGAGAGGATTGCCTGAGCTCATGGGTTCGAGACCACGTTCAGCCTGGGCAACTTGGCAAAACATCATCTCTACAATAAATAAAAAAATTAGCCGGGCGTGGTGGTACATCCCCGTAGTTCCAGCTACTTCGAAGGCTGAGGTGGAAGTATAGCCTGAACCCAGCAGGTTGAGGCTGCAGTGGCTGTGAGCATGCTACTGCACTCCAGTAGCATAATGAGACTCCAACTCAAAAAAAAAAAAAAACTTAGCACAGACTAAGTGTTCAGTGATTATAAAGTCTACAGCAGTGTACAGTAATGTCCTAGGCCTTCACACTCACTCACCACTCAATCACTGACTCATCCAGAGCAACTTCCAGTCCTGCAAGTCCCATTCATAGTAAGTGCCCTACACAGGCATATTATTTTTTATCTTATACCATATTTTTTATGGTGACTTTTCTATGCTTAGATTCACAAACTTCCCCATTGTTACAACTGTCTACAGTATTCAGTACAATAACATTTTGTACAAGTTTGTAGCCCAAGAACAATAGGCTGTACCATGTAGCCAATGTGTGCAGTAGGCTACATCATCTAGATTTGCATCACCTAATGATGCATTTCTCAGAATGTACCCCACTGTTGAGCAACGCATGACTATATTTCTCACAATACTGTAAGAGAGACAATAGTCTCTCTCTCCCTCCCTCCCTCTCTCTCTCTCTCTCTCTCTCTCTCTCAGATGAGAAAACTGAGGCTTAGGGACATTGGGTAATTTGCTGAAGGTCATGTAGCAATGAAATTATAGAGCCAAGATGAAAACAGATTTGTCCTTTGCCAGAGCCTCTGCTCTCACTAACTAGGCTAACACCATTTGTCAATCTCCAGAATTTAAAGAAGGCAGCCAAATGACAGCAAAAATGATTGTCAATAGAAAGAAAGAAAAAAGAGGTAAAATTCACAAACTCTTTCAGAAAATACTGCCTACTACTCAACATCTCATCAAAAGATACAAATTTCTTTAAGTCCTGAAAAACAATACATTTATAAAGAAAAAAATAATTCCCAAGTATCAAAATCAAGAAGAAATTTGAGTCTTTGGCTTCCCCTAAAACATTGTCTCATTTTGCATTAGGAAAACAGAGGTCCATATAACTATAATTCTGACCCTATACAATAATGACTGTTTTCCTTCCTTTGCCTTATTTCTGAAGTTAAAAAGATTGCAATGCAACCAGGCAAGTTGACTAGCTTTCTCGTAAGATGATTTACTATGTTACCTTGATATTTTACCATGCAGTCCAGGATGTGGCCCTCAGGTTTTCAAACTTAGAAAATGTCAATGTATTAACCTAAAACTATGAATTCACAAGGACCACATAGATAAATACTCAGATTAGCATGACTACTATATGCGTTTCCTATATACAGATCTATATGGGAAATCAAATTATAACCAGAAAGCTGGAAATTACATAGAAGCAGAATGAATTGTCAAGAGTCTTCCTCAAATATGATCTCAATAAAAGGCCCTTAACATACTTGAAGTCTCATTGGCCACCACTTTCCATCCCTGAAACTTGGATGATTTCTCAAATTTGCCTCTGTGTCTCTCCTTTCCCTCTGCTCCCACTGTGGATCAATGGAGGTTATGAAAGTTTCATTCTTCAGACCTTCAGTCCAGTCTTGCTCAAGTCTAGAAATAATCCTATATTTAAATGTGACTTGACTATTCTTGCTCTGATCAATTCAGTACAGTATTGATTGTACTTTCAGGGAGTGATCTTATTTCCCTTATTTCCAAATTCTTAGCAGGAAGGACCATATAGTTATTCCCAAGTGGAAAATAATATGATGTAATAAAATGTAAATATTCACACAGCAGCTCTGGAGGTAAAGCTTTCTGTATGGCCACTGTTATTCTATCCTAAAAGTCTGACAAAATTTATGAGATTTATTGTGTTCTAACACACCACGTTTATATTTGTACATTTACAGGAAGAAATCCTCTAATGTACCTCACCTTGACTTCTTTAAAAAACCCATCATAACATTTCTGCAGGGCAAGCTAAGGGCCTTGATCACCATAGGTTCTACAGCAAGGCGACAAGAGGAAATCCTTCTACAGAGAGATCTATAGTACTCTTGTCTATCCTTTCCACACCTCAGGGACTGAAGTCACTGTGCTGATTAGGAAGGCTACTCAAGTGAAACCAATGACAAAGACTCAGAAAAGTTTAGGGAAAAGTTAGGAGTAAGCTATGGGAATAAACGTGGTTTTTGAAAGTGATGAGGCAGAAATTAGAAAAGGGTGAAAGTCACTGTTTTGGGATGGGTGGGGAAGTTGTAATCTGAAGCTGAAAAAGAAAATAAGAATTTCTCAGTATACTTTCCTGAGTGGTAACAGGAAGACTGTTTTTCTAAAACAACAAAAAACAAGTAAGGTTTTCATAATGGCAATTAAAGGGTCAATGCTGTTAAAGTGAAAAATATTAGTGGAAACGCTTGTTTACTTCATCTGGGTTCAATGACTCAAGTCATTAAGGCTACAAAGCCAGATCATGCTTATTACCTGAGCTGATGGGAGGGTTTCGGATAACATCGGCAATAATCTTCTGAACCTCTGGAGTCAGGCCTGCACGCTCCAAATCGAGGGGGTAACCAGCTTTTACTGCTTGGAATAAGTGCATGCCAACTGCTTTGAGAGGCAGAATCCTGCTCTCAGCTATGCTCTTCTAGAAAAATAACAGCAAAGAGTCAGTGAGTTTTTAAAAATTTCTACTGTCTTCATGGAAAGAAAATGTTCAAAATGTTCAGGTAATAAATATTCACTGAAAAATAAGCAATGGACTAAACCTTCACTTAAAATTTTTATCTATTGCTTTAAAACTACCCACATTATAGACTTCCATAGGTTCTATTTTTCATACCTATTATATTGTGTTGAAAAAACCAAAATTGCCTACCTTTAGCTAAGAATTCAATCCTCATCCCCCTTCTAATTATTCACTTTAAAAAGCTATTAGTGGCAAAGAGAGGTCATTCTGTGTAAGTCTAATAGCTGTCACAACCTTTTGAAAACACAGTAAACTATAATCCAATTTTCTATATACTTGAAGTAACTAATGGTGCTTTGGTTACATGAATTTCCAAGACAAATCCTAAAATGCTCAGTGCTAACGTAAGTCTCCAGATGCATTCTACAAAAGGTTCTTGAGAAGACTTTACTAGGTGTTTTAAATTGGCGCTATTCATAAAATAATAACTACAATTTTACAAGGGCTGTCACCATTTTCCTACTATTGAACTTCACACGAACAGTGTGACATATTTATGCAGCTTTTTACAAAACTGTGGATCCAAATGCATTTAAGATACTTATTAAGCAAAACATTCATTTAAACACCCAAAAAGCTTAGCCTGAAGTTCTAGTTTATTTCATGAAACTTGCTTTCAATACATTTTGAGAATCTAAATTTAGACTGTATTTGTATGAATGTTGACACTTTCACAGAATAGAGCATTTAAAGCAATACTTTCATCCTTCAAGGATAGGTTTTAAGTAACTTTCATTAAGTTTTCTACTCTTTTCTACTAGAAAGTATGCACCATGTGTGCATAATATCAGGGCTATCTGATACCAGGCATCAAATTACCTCAGACTAATTGTATTATTGCTCCTGATTAATTAGTTCTTAGGCATGTTTAGTTTTGTGGTTAACTGGGAAGACCCTTTCTGACTCCTGGGAGGTACAGATAATTATACCATCCTATTATAGAATGAAATACAACCAAATAATAACAAAGACGTAAGTAAAGATATACCATTCTTCCATCTTTAACCCTGAATATGTAATATAACACAGGAAACCTTATATTATGACTGAGCATTAGAATGCACTTTATTCAGAAAATATGGAGCTAATACTGAATTTTGTAAATAACCATATTCATTTCTACCATATATATGTGGTCAAATTATGTAGATACAGGCATATTTAACCTGCACATATAAGTTACAATTTACATGAAAGATTGAACTTAAAACTCCTATTTATCATGTGTTTTAATTCAAAAAATAGTACAGTAGAATTATTTGGTGTCTTTGGCAGTGACCTTTGTAAGGAACTTTAAGAAACTTGACTATCTAATTAGAACATATATTCAGTGAGTTAGAAAAGCTATAAACTGTTTATTATTGTTTATTTTGGACCTCAACCTGAATAGAAAGTGTGTAATGTAGCCCAGTAGATGGAGGCACAAGAAAAGGCAGGCACTGGACCACAAAACCTGCTCCAAATCAATTATGTCAGAGATGATGGGAATTCAAACTAGTTAAACTTAGTTGGAGAGCTCATTCTGTCTCCACCCATTAAAACATACTCTCCATTTTGTGTGTGTGTGTGTGTGTATAATAAAGATTTGTTACAACAATGAAGAAACATTAAGTATGGTAACATTTTACAATAATTAGAATTTTCTTCAAAGAGCATCAAACATGTTTAAAAAATAGTAATAGAAGATACAGAATGAATAGCAAGTTTTTAAAAACTTGAGTTTTATTGAATTTCCTTCCAAAGGGACTGCATGCATTTTTTTGTACAAATACACGAATATGTGAATATATAAACATGCATTTACACACATATATACATTTATATGTTTGTTTTTCACACTGTTTTGCATCTTTATTTTTTTCACTTAATGTATCTTGAAGGTTGTTTCTTTAAGAGTGCAAATACTAAAAATACTACTATTAGTCTCATTTTTAAAAAACAGAGTTTGAGACTATGGCTGCTGTAATATCCCTCACTATGAAGGTATTTGTCAGTCCCACTGGTAGAACCTCTATAAGATAATCATGGTCAAAGTGTACTTGCTGTTATTACTTAATTGACAGAGGAAGGCTCAATGGAAAAAGAAAATGCCATTTTGCTTTAAAATTAAAAATAAAATGAGATTTATTGTAGCGTTAGGGAGAAACTGACCCCAAGTCACGGCTTTAATACTGAAAAGCCGATAAAGCACAAGCAATAGATTAAACATTCCTTGTAACTTGAAAGTAACACTTACCAAAGACATCTTCTTTTCTTGGAATAAAGAATATGTGATGGCCACAGATTGTGAAATTGAGCATTTTTTATTTTCTACTACCAGACTTTTGTTCTGCTCTTCCTGAGGTTTTGTACTTGAAAAGTTGTCTGTCTACAGAATTTTAAATATAGCATAAATGACCAAGAGTAATATCAACATAATGAATGACTGACTGTAAACACAAGGGGGACCCCCAAAAATCCAGAATTATCTTTTGGATGGTGGGCCCCTTGTACACTTGGAATTTGCTCCTCTGGATCCAAAGGTCAACCAAAGTTTTTATCTGGAAGTTTTGAGAAGGTTGGGTCACGATTTGTGGAAGAAACATCCCAAGTTATGACAAACAGGAGACTGGTTCTTTCACCATGACAACACACCTGCCCACACTGTACTGAGCGTTCAGCAGTTCTTACCAAAAATGGCATGACTCCCATGCCCTGCTCTCCTAATTCACCCATCTCACCCGAGCAACATTTTTTTTTTGTTTCCCCAGATGAAAAACGTCCTCAGTGGGAAACGTCTGCCTATGTGGAAGAGATGAAACAATAAAATGGCAGAAGCACTAAAAGGCATCAAAATTGATGAGTTCAAAAACTGTTTTGAGCAGTAGAAAGAGCATCTCAATAGGTGTACTGCATCAAACAGAGAGTACTTGGAAGGTGACTGAAACTAAAAAATGTAAGAATAAGTACACAATTTTTTATAAGTAAATTCTATTTTTTGAGAGTCCCCCCTTTTATGACCATTAACCACAGAAAAAAATAACACAAGTAAAGCCTCTAAGTAACAGTCAAAGGATTCCTTTTTTATGAGGAACTCAAAAGGAAGTTGAATGTTTTTACATATTGATTTATAAAGGTAAAATAATGTTACAGCACATAATTTTTAATAAAATATTTCTTGTAACAAACATTTCCTTGTCTCCTCACTAGCCAATAAAAAGGAATAAAAAGGAACTATAATGTGAACAATTCTCTCTAAATTAGTCCCCTAATACCCTGGAAATGAATATTGAATGAATGAATAAATTAAGTCAATAGTCAAATTTAGGTATTATAACCAAAAGTTCTGCTAATCTATCATAAGAAAATATAATTATATAAATAAAGCTATATATTAAAAAACTATATATAATTATATATGTAAGTACATATATATATGTACATATAAATTTCAAAAGATATTTCCCAACTAGAGCTCTAAACTTTAAGCATTAGGTAAAATTTTAAATATACTTTCTTAAGAGCTGCTTTTTTTTTTTAAAAAGGGAGGGATTGAAAAAATAGGATTAATGAAGAAATACTGAAAATTTTTTAAAGCTTGAAAAAAAGGTAAAGGGAGAAACAACTAACTTTTTAACCACACATAAAAGGTAGATTAAAACAGCATACTGCAGTCATAATAAAAACTGTTAAATAAAGATGAGCCTACTCTTGATAAATAATATTGATATTTTGTTAAGGTTATCATGTTGTCTACTATATGAGGAAGAATATTTATGAGCTTTCCTTTGAGAAATAAATTTACTTTTTGCTTCTACATTCTGTTAGAGAGTTAAATTTTAAAAATATTAGATGAGTATTAACACTGCTTGGTGAGAAATATAAATGCTTTTGTTTCACTTTTTCCATGCTATATATATGCTGCCTAATGTTAAAACTTGAATTATCTAACCTAAGGCAATAAAACGTACTTTCCAAACCTTTTTGATGGTTTCATTTTACGTGGTGGTTTCATTTTACGTATGGAAGAATCTCAGAACTAAACTCTCACATCAACACAAAAGACGATTTCACTCAATCCTACAGGTGGGGATTTCATGTTCTAAGCATATGATAGGTTTAAATAAAACAGAGCCAGGTATTACATGTTCCTGTCTCTATTTTACAACTTCAGAATACTTGCATTTTGCAGATTTTAGGAAGCACACGTCAATACAAAATAGTTATTTTTTTGAAGAAACCTTGCTGGCTGCTCAAGCTGCTCCCTAAACTGTGGCATTAGTCATGATCTAGGTTAGCATTTGAGTCCTCATCCTCACAGTTTTAGAAGTCTAATGTGTCTTGTTACAGAGTAGTTGTGTTTTGGAGAGTAGATCCACATTTGCTATCTCTGTGAACTTGGTTTCATGTATGTGTGTGTGTGTGTGTGTGTGTGTAAGTTTATGTATTAGAAAGCAAATTCATTTATTTATAGTGAGGCATAAATGGAAAGTTTCACCTGTGTGGTCTGTCCTGTAGAAGAAAGTTGTTTGGCAAGCTTGGAATATAACAAGGAAACTTCTGATGATAGTGTCTTAAGTAGTCTCTTAATAATCAAGGTAGGTTGAAGCATTCTCCTTCCAACTCAACTATAATATTCAAATTTAGTAAGCCAAAATATCTTCTCTCTGAACAATGCATAGGTAAGTTTTGCCTACTTTTATCCCTGTGCCTTTCCTACCCTGTATGTTTCCAAAATTGACCATTCTCTATCCACATAGTCATTAGTCTAGAGTATGATTAGATTAGACTATTGCTCCTAGAATCACATTCTAGCCCTCCCTTCTTGAGATTATTACTTTGGATTACTTTGCTGAGTATTTTAAACATTCCTAAATCCTTAGTTGTATGTTTACAGATTTTATCATCTCTTTGTCCCGTAAATCCTAAAATCTTTATGAATTTGCCAATATAACTAATAGGGAGGGAAGGGCAGGCACTAAAAACATAATTTTCATAAATTTCTATAAATTATTTTAGCACTTTTTTTTACTAAATAGCTACTTCAATGTGTTTAATACCTATGCTATATTTGTAACTTTTTATTTGTATTGTGACAGTATTTAAGTTTTATGTCAAAATTTAAAATATATATCAAAAACTTAATGAAATTGGTGAATAATAAAACAAACTTAATAAACATAAAAATTTATTAATTAGTTTAATTAATAAATGGTTTCCATTTGCAGAGTAGTTCAGGCATAATTCCTAATCACAAAAATTAGCAGTAATTTTCTCTTTCATCCAGAAGGCTCACAAAAGTTTCAGGTCCATCCATTAAAGCATTTATCTTTTGCTTTCCTTCATTTCCTCTTCAAAAAAGGAGCTGAGAGAGATAATTCATTCATTATTAAATAATTCCACTAATTCATGAACGATAGTACCGTCAAGTGTCCAAAGAGAGGGAATGTATTCAATTACTTCTGGTAGGTATGGTCTTCTTTATCAAATCATTAGGGGACATTATGATTTCATTTTCAAAATATCCAATATAAAATATAAGGAATTTCCCCATGATATCTTTTATAAGAGTATGAAAAAGAATATTTAAAGTTACCATATATATTCTATAGCAAAAGAGAAAAATACTATATACAAAAAGCAAGGGAGTTTTCTACATATAGTTAAAAAAGGATTTTTCTAAAGCAGCATCTAGCTGTGCCTGATCAAAGCTTACAGGAGGTTCTTAAAAGTAAAGGATAGACAAGCCAGCACTTTGGGAGGGAGGCCACGGTGGAAGGATAACTTGAGGCCAGGAGTTCAAGACCAGCCTGGGTAAGAAAGCATTACAAAAAATAAAAAATTAAATACAATTTTAAAATATTTAAAGGACATAAAATATAATCCCTTAATACTGCCTTGAATGCATTTAACTCTTCCAGCTTTTTATAAGCATTCCATGTCTTTTAGTTTTCTAAGGTTGTTCATTGTTACCTTGATATGGGGAAGGAACTATCATTTTTATTGTGTAGGAAGGAAATAGAGACCCATAGAAGTAAAAGAACATGTTCGGGTTCACCAGGTAAACTACACAGAGAAGAACTAAAATCCTGATTCACAGAAGTCTCTCCACCACTGCCTCACCTTCTGTGGCGTACACAGCAGAGTCCGCATGTGGAGTTTAAAGAAAAACCCGATCTTTGTGGAAAGAGTCACTGATGTTGGTGGAAAGAGTCATTGATGTTGGGACAAGAAATAATAAAAGGGTATTGAAGAAAACACTATTAGAACTGAAGAGAATAACATGAAATCTACTTACTATCAAAAGACAACATTAGAATGGCACAGTAGCTACAGAACATGCCATGCAAAAAAAAAAAAAAGGGCTGAGTTCCTTACCAACTAACATCAATGACAACTTTGCAGCTTTAATTTCTAACTATCACATTTGAAAGTAAAAGTTAGAATCTATCACCCTAAAATAATGCTTCAAATTTTAAAGCAAAATCTCTCAATGATTTGAGCAGCCTGGACAACTACTTTAGCATCATTCTTTTATTTTTTTTTTTTGAGTTGGAGTCTCACTCTGTCGCCCAGGCTGGAGTGCAGTGGAGTGCACAGCCACCACAGCACTGACCTGCTGAACTCCAGCAATCTTTCCGCCTCAGCCTTCCAACTAGCAGGAACTACAGGGGTACATTACCACGTCCAACTAATTTATTTATTTATTTATTGTAAAGACAAGGTCTTGCCAAATTGCCCAGGCTGATCTCGAACCTGCAGGCTCAGGCAATCTACTCGCCTCAGCCTCCCAAAGTACTAGGATTATAGGTTGGGCCACCAAGCCCAGTCAGTATCATTCTTAAAAGTAGGTAACTGATGTGTTTTTACAGCAGATTAACTGTAGAAACGATATGAATTCATTTTCTAAGTGCCCTGTGGAAACGCAAATAAAAGGAGAAAATGTTGTTTCTGAAGGATGCTTTTGAAATGGTTAAAAAAAAATGTTTATTCTCTAAGAGGTCTTGCAAACCATAGTATTTTACCTGAATACTATTTGCTTGGCAGAAATGTTTGATGACATCCAACAGAGGGGCCAACATAGCAGCTTTGCCTTCAGAAACGCCATCAATCCATTTTACATGTTCAACTGTAGTTGGTCTGTATTTACCAAAAAAATCAAGAAACCATAGAAATAATATCACTTCACCAACAGAGTCAATATTCAGCTTCTAACTGATACTTAATCTGAATAAATGTATATTTTTCTACAATCAAAAACAATGTATACAAATAGTCATGTTTTATCATTTCTTTCTTTGCTTTCCATCATTTATAAGATTTGCTTTTTTAACAATTTATGAATAAAAACACTACTGGCTCTAGCACCAAAAAAACAAAGTATCGACTAGTAAAATGGCCATTATCATAAAGGAGTAGGCTAACATCTAATATTCCACTCTTATTACTGATTTTATTGTTATTATTTTTATAGAAATGAATAGAGAAACAATGAGATTCTAACTGGGGAACTAAGAGGCTTAGAAGCTCTCTGAAGAAAGTCTCATTCATTATTTTCTTCTACAAAGTATTCACCTGTAACAGGAAACCTGTTAACTACTTCAGGCTTTTAGCTCCATGTTTCTTACTGTGTCTAATATCCGAGAGACCATACAATGTCTTCTTTCTAAAAATCTGCCAATCTAATGATTACTATGTTTAGTTATTTATCTTCTCTGAATTTTAAAGTATGGTCTTAGAATTATCCGATTTATTTTTTAACAAAATAATTATTGTAAGATACAAGCGCTGTGTAATATCATTAGAAAATTCTTCATAAATAAAGTAACATCTATTGGATGAAATTTAGTAACAAAAGCATGTTTTTAAAAAGAAACAAATGACAAATACAATTACCAAGCAACTATTCTTTCTTCTAAATATTTAATGACTACCTAATGTTTACTAGGCATTGTGCTAGATGCTATGGAAAACACAAAGAGACGAGGAACTAATATCTTTGTATTCCGAGAGTTTAAAATCAAGAAAATATAATAACATATGTTTACCATTAATTACAAAAAAGCAAAATATTGCCTTATGTGATAAGTGCCATAGAAGAGTTCATCCAAAAGTCTTATGTATTCGAGAGAGGAATTACTTTTCTGGTAAGTCCATAGGAGACTACCTGAAGGAAAAAGTAATAAAGCTAGATCTTGAAGGATTTCTTAAGAGAAGATCTGAAGAATCAAGAAAATTACAAGGCAGAAGCAATACTGTAAATAAATATACGAAAGTTGAAAAGGATTTTCAACAAATGGTAAACAATCCAAGTAAAAGAAACTATTGAAGATTCTGTGACTTATATGGAAAAGTAGGTTTAAGACAATAAATGGAGGGCCTTGAATCCTAAGCTAAGGAAATTAAGACAGTGAGAAACTATTTAAATAGAAGAAAAACATGATAAATGAAGATTAACTTGGGTACTCATATATCAGACGAAACAGAGAGACAGAGGATGAGGAAGGAGCAGTTAGGAGGCTTTAAAAATAGGCCATGGGAAAATAGTCTGAACTAGCATGGTGTCACTAAGAAGGTGGAGGAATATTTATTTAAAAAGGTCCGAAAACCATTTAAATAAGAAGAAGAGGATATATGTTAGAGGAATAAAAATAATATCAGAAGTTTTAAACATTAGGAATCTCTGATTAGAAATGTGATGATATGACTAACAAAATAAAGAATTCAAATAAAGGAGTTTTCGCATTCGCATAAAATATGTATAGAAGGTAGACAAAAAATGACTTATATATACTGAATCTAATTGCCGAAAACACAGCTGGTTTTCATTCACGTAGAAATGTGGAACTAAAGCTCAGAAAAGAGTTTAGCAAAGCAGCATAAGATGTCTAGTAGCCATCTCACAGATGTGAGAGTTGAAGCCAAGGTCATACTGCTGCTGGAGAATGGAGAGAGAGAAAGAGACCTCATCTATTGCCTGGATTCTTGACTTTGCCTCAAGAAGGAATTCCAGAGCAAGTTACCAGGTTGGTGAGCAAGTAGAGCTTATTAAGGTAAAAAGATACAATCAAAGGGAAGAAGAGTAGGGGCAGGTAGTCTCCAGAAGATAGCTGTTTTGAGGAAAAAGAGTTTGCACTCCAAGGAAGGGGAGTGCAAACAGTCTCAGAATGAGAACTGCCTCAAAGATGTCTTGGTGACTGGCTTTTATCTCCTCTGTAGAAGGTGGCTAGGAGGGAGCAAGGATTATGAGGGCCATGGATTTGTCTTCATTAGGGTATCTGGGCTGTGTGATGAGCTCATGTTCACTTACAATCATCAGGTCACCAAGAAGGTGGAGGGCCTGCTTTGCTCTCCTGACTCCAATCATAAACACCCTGGAGGTGTTTTCCAAAATTTAGTGACTCGCTTCCTGTTTCTTGTAGGACGAAACAGAGGTCGTATTTTTCCTGTACTTACTAGCCTACCACAATATTATCAACATATTAATGATATGCTTTACAAATCTATTACATTAGAAGGAAATAAATCAGAGTATCTGCAAAATATAGTTTACCTCATTTTGGCCATATCCACCAGTATCTTATTTGTTGCCAGAATAACAGGAGGAATATCCAATTTGTTGGCATGTTTCTGCCTAGCTTCTAACAATTTGCCATATAACACAGTCTGAACAACAACAAAAAAACACTTTAAAAAACGCGCAAGCTTCAGATATCACATTTTCCCATAAAATGAATATAAACAGAACTCTATCTCAGACACTTAGCTAAAGAACAATTTTAAAATACTGGCAACAGAATTTTAAGCATATATAGAATTGTAACTATTCTTCATAAGCTAATTACCTTTTCACAAAAGCTTTACCTGAGTCTCCTGTTCTTGGGCTGAAATAACAGGTTCTGAAGTGGGGTAAGATTTTCCTGGTGACTGCACCATGATACTGAAATATTTAAAAGAAAATAAATGATAAAAGCTTTTCTTTCTCCTTCTTTACTTTTTATTTTGTCCCCAAAATGAGAATATCTTTCCAAGTCAGTACTAACATTTATTCTTCACAACACCAGTAAGCTTATTTGTTAAGTAAATGACAAGTACCTAAATTTTAAACATTTTAGATCAAATTCATTCATTATAATGATAAAGTTAAAATGGCAGTTTGAACTGGTGAGAAACAATATGAGTGTAAAGAATGTAGAAAATACTTTCCTGATTGTTCAAGTCTTATTCAACACCAGAGAATTCACACTGGTAAGAAACCCTTTGAATATCAAGAACATAGGAAGGCCTTTAGGCATGAGATGCATCTTACTTTTAACATCAAAGAATTCATACTGGTGAGATATCTTATTGAATGTAAGGAATCTGGGAAGGCCTTTTCTTTTCTTTCACAGATGAAAAAACACCAAAGAATACACACATAAGTTGATGAAGCCTATGTATTTGAATACTGTCCTTTATTTACAATCGCTACTTAACACTACCACATTCATATTGGAGACAAACTTTAGAACTATAAGAAATGTGGAAAACAGTTTTATCTGTTCATCACTTATCCTTTTATATAACAGGAGTTGTACTGGTGAGAAGCCTTGTGAAAGTCAGGTATGTATAAAGATCTACTCTCACATTATACTCAATTATATAATTTACAGTATAATTAATATAGTATGAATAATATATAATGTATTTTTAAAACTCATGATCTTGCAATTATGCATTATGGAATGGCAAACAATACATAAGTGAAGAAAATCCAGTGACTCAGTAAATTTATTTTGCCTCATAAGTCACAATTTATTCTGTATCAGAATTTATACAGAAAAAATAAAAATTTTAATAGAAATAAAATATTCTGTTACTAAAAAAAACTCAAATCAAACTGCAATTTGAGTTCATCACAAAATTGATGTGTTTACAGAGCATTTGTTCCATTCTCTTCCTTAACCAAATGCTTTGAAAGAAAATATTCTTTATCCATACTGATGATAGCATAACATTTTTTAGTCTGATGATTATAATAAGTTTTTTTAACCTAATAGTATAGCAATTGACAATTCTTGCTATAACATCACAGTTTTTTGACTGGTAGAGAAAGAACATCAGTAAGAGATTAATCAAGTTACTCAGAATTTTCTTCAAAATCAAACAAAAGTAAGACAAAAGAACATGGTATGAAAGGTGTCAGGCAGCAAATTATAAAGAAAACTAATTTCTAAGAGAGGCATTTCTCATTGGTAAATTAATTATAAATAAGAAAAGTTATAAAAATGAAATTGTAGGCCAGGTGCGGTAGCTCACACCTATAATCCCAGCTACTAAGGAGGCTGAGGTAGAAAGATCCATTGAGGCCAAGAGTTCAAGACTCCTCCATGCCAAAAAAGAAAAAGGAAAGAAAAGAAAAGAAAGTATACAGCTTATATATAAGATATCAAATTTAAATAAATTCCTTCTTCATGGGGCTAGAAAGGAGAATATGTGTGATATTTAAGAAATTTATCAGCTGGGCACAGTGTCTCAAGCCTGTAATCCCAGTCCTTTGGGAGGCTGAGGCAAGAGGATTGCCTGAGTCCAGGGATTTGAAAGCAGCCTCGTCTCTACAATAAATCAAAAAAATTAGCTGGGCATGGTAGCGCATGCCTGTAGTTCCAGCTACTGGAAAGGCTAAGGCAGAAGGATCGCCTGAGCCCAGCAGGTCCAGGCTGCAGTGGCCATGAGCATGCTACCGTACTCAAGCCTTTGTTTCTCTTGGGTGACAAGAGAAACAAAGAAAAAAGAAATTTCTCTGCTGAAAGAATTCAGAAACTACAACTAAAGTAAGATTTCATTTTTACAACCATCAAAAATTACCATTAAAATAAGTAGACTTGAGCCTGAGGGCAGATAACTCCAGTTCAAAGAATTAGTAACATCAGTTTACTCAAGAAAATTATAAGTTTATTTTAAGTTATATATTAACCTTTATCTTACTATTTAGGTAAACATACTAATGGTATGTTTAATTATTTCACAAAGAATGTTGTCATATATACTGGCAAAATTCTGAGTAACATATCCCTGGAGCAGAAATACATACAAAAAATGTTTAATAAAAAAATGTGCCACAAAGAAGAAAAATAACTATAATGAATATTACCAGACATATAAGTGATGACATTAAATCCATGAAATAAGAAAAGATTTCTATATACTATTAAAGATACAAGACCAAAAGAAAGAGTTCTTAGAAATTAAAAATTCGATAACTAAAATCAAAATTTCACTAGGTGGAAGGTGATAAAAAGTCAAGGATTTCTCCAAGAGAGTAAAAAAACAAAGACTGAAAGAAAAATCAGTAAAAGGAACACTAAAAGGCAAGCTAGAAAGAAAAAAGAAGACAATTATTAACATCAGAAAAAAAAATAAACGTAGTCATAATAACACAGTTTGGATTGGTAGTACATATATAATATTTGTGTAGTCAAAATGATGTAAAATTATTATAATACTATCATTATATTTAAGAGATGTCAAAACAAATTATTAATATGACCAAACTTATAATTATGTTGGTAGAGAAATGAAAGAAGGTAAATACACTATGATAGGAAGTCAGTAGAAAAACCTCTAAAATTGGCAAGTCATAAAATAGTAGTTTATGCTTGTGATTTAGAAATAAGCAGGCAAATGACAACTCAGCTAGAAGACTTGAGTGTGACAGTTTCTATTAAGAAAGAAGAAAGTGGGTTGGGGAAGGGTGTGGACTGGTGTGCTTTGTTACAAAGCTTTTAAATACCAACTGTATTTAAATGAATTTTAAAATAATAGTTATTGATATATAAGTATCCGGTTCACTTCTGTACACTAAGCCCATATATTTAAATTAATTTTTGGACTTCTCCACAAGTATCCCAAACTCAAGTTATCTATCACTAAACTCCTGATTTAAAACAAAATCAACTTCTTCCAAACTCCTGTTAATGATGATATTTTGACTTTCTCTCAGGAATCACAAATATTCTTAATGGCATTTAGAATGGCAAATCCTTTCCAGAAGGTTTTCGGTTGACTTCGCCCAGATCCATCACAGAAATCACTCTCTCTGGCAACTACAGCCTTATGAAATATGTTTCTTAAGTAAGATTTGAAAGGTGAAATTACTCCTTGATCCAAGGACTGCAGAATGGATGCTGTGTTAGTAGGCATGGAAGCAACATTAATCTCCTTGTGCGCCTCCATCACAGTTCTTGGTGACCAGGTACATTGTCAATGATCAGAAATATTTTGAAAGGAATCTTTTCTTTAAGCAGTAGTTCTCAACAGTGGGCTTACAGTATTCAGTAAACCATGCTGTAAAAAGATGTGCCGTCACCCAAGCTTTGTCGTTTCCTTTACCGAACTCAGGCAGATTAGATTTAGCATAATTCTTAAGGGCCCTAGGATTTCCAGAGTGCTAACTGAGCACTGGCTTCAACGTAAAGCCACTAGCTGCATCAGTCTCTAACAAGGGAGTCAGCCAGTCCTTTTAAGCCAGGCATTAACTTCACCTTTCTACCTGTGAAAGTACAGATGGCATCTTCTTCCAATAAAAGATGTTTCACCCACAGTGAAAAATCGATTGTTTATCAGTCATTTTCATCAATTATCTTCACTAGATCTTTTAGGTACTTGCTGCTTTGCCTTGTACTTTTTTATATAAAGGAGACAATTTCTTTCCTTAAATCTTAGGAACCAACCTCTGGTAGCTTTGAACTTTTCTTTCGCAGCTTCCTCACTTCTCTCAGCCTTCAATGAATTGAAGAGATATAAGGCCTTACTCTGGATTAGGCTTTGCCATAAGGGGATTTTGTAACCGGTTTGATCTTCATCTAGGCCACTAAAATTTTCTCCATATCAGCACTAAGGTCATTTTTCTTTCTTACCTGTGTGTTCACTGGAGTAGCACTTTTTTTTTTTTTTTTTTTTTTTTTTGAGTTGGAGTCTCAATCAGTCACCCAGACTGGAGTGCAGTGGCCGCTCCTGGTCACTGCAGCCTCGCCTGCTGGGCTCCGGCGATCCTTCCACCTCAGCCTTCCGAGTAGCCGGAATTACAGGCATGTGCTACCACACCCAGCTGATTTTTTTATTTATTGTAGAGATAATGTCTCGCTGCCCAGGCGGGTCTCGAACCCGCGGGCTCAGGCAATCCACTCACCTCAGCCTCCCAAAGGCACGGGATTACAGGCTGAGCCACTGAGCCCGGCTGGAGTAGCAGTTTTAACTTCCCTCAAAAACTTTTTATTTGCATTCACAACATGGATATTTGATACAAGAGGCCTAGTTTTTGTTCTACCTCAGCTTTTGACATGCTGTCCTAACTAAGCTTAACCATCTAGTTTTTGATGTACAGTGAAAAATGTATGGCTCTTCCTTTCACTTAAACACTTTCAGAGACCATTGTAGGGTTATTAATTGACCTAACTTTAATATTGCTGTGTCTCAGGAAATAGGGAGACCCAAGGAAAGGGAGAGAGACAGGGGAATGGTGGGTTGATGGAATAGTCTGAACACCCACATTTATCTATCAAGTTTGTCGTCTTAGATGGGCATGGTTTATAGCACCCCTAAACAATTACAATAGTAACATTAAAGATCACCAATCACAGACCACCATAACACATATAATAATAATGAAAAAGTTTGAAATATTGCAAAAATTACGAAACTGTAACACAGAAATAAGACAACATCACATGCCACTGGAAAAATGGTGCTAATAGAATTGCTCAACACAGGGTTGCCAGAAACCTTCATATTATAAGAAATGCCATATTTGTAAGGCACAATAAATAAAGCACAGTGCAATAAAATGAGGTAGGCCTTATATATTTAATACAAATAGACTTAAATAGTGTTTTGATAAAAGAAGTAGACAAATATAGATTTTAAAGTCCGCTCTACCACTAGCTGTATGCTCTTGAACAAGTTACTTAATGTCTTAACCCTTGGTATCTTCAACTGTAAAATGGGTATAAATAATAATAGCTAACTCATAGGTTGTTGAAGAATTAAATGACATATTACACATAAAGTTCTTAGCATTTAACACAGTGCCTGGGAAACAGTAATATCCAGGAAATATTAGCCATTAAATTAACATTAATATTATCATTTCATAGATTGCTTTAATAATTATAATACTGGAGGCTTATGCTTTAAATTCCTTTTGCCAGTGAAGTAGCCCAACATCTGATAGTACTTTCTATGTAGGAAAAAAGGGGAAAAGTGCTCATAAAATAAGGATAGAACATAAAAATATAGAACTCTGTACCTTTTTTTAGGAATGCTACTCCCAGAAGAAATCTTATCACACGGTTTGTAAGAATACATCATCTCCAAGTTATACTGCTTTTAAGCAAATAAAGATTCATTTAAAAAAAAAGAGAGAAGTTTCAAAACACTTTTTTAAAAATGTTAAATGTGAAAATAAGACATAAAATCTTACAATGATACATTTTCCTTTGACACACCAAGTCATCAAATGCCTGAAAATAAGCTCTTGAGTTATCAGCTTTTGGAGTTCTAAAGACAGAAACACAACCCAATGGTCTATTCCTCTCAAAACTATAGAAAATAAATGATCAAAAGAATGCTTTAAGATACAGCAAGGGCCAAAGTTGTAAAAACAATTCAATTACAGTCTGTATACTTCAATAAAGCAGAAAAGGTTCACCAGAAAATTTAATTCACCACATTTTTTTCATTATTCCCATGTTCTAATTAGCTGAAGTCTGCCTGTAGATTAGTATTTCATCTGTAATTGTTATCTAAGATCCAAAACAAAAAAAGAAAGTGTGTGTGTGTATGCACACCTACGTGCACATGCACATATGCAGATGAGGGTGTAACTTTTTTTTTCTTTTTGAGTTGGAATCTCACTCTGTCACCCAGACTGGAGTGCAGTGGCCACTCCCAGTCACCGCAGCCTCGACCTGCTGGGCTCTGGCGATCCTTCTGCCTCAGCCTTCCAAGTAGCTGGAACTACAGGCGTGTGCTACTAAGCCCGGCTAATTTTTGATTTATTGTAGAGATGAGGTCTCGCCAAGTTGCCCAGGCGAATCTCGATCCCAGGGGCTCAGGCAATCCGCTCACCTCGGCTTCCCAAAGCGCTGGGATTACAGGCTGAGCCACTAAGCCCGGCCAGAGGGTGTAGCTTTAATGAGAACATTATTTTATTTTATTTATTTATTTTTTGAGTTGGAGTCTCACTCTGTCGCCCAGACTGGAGTGCAGTGGCCGCTCCCGGCCACTGCAGCCTTGACCTGCTGGGCTCCGGTGATCCTTCCGCCTCAGCCTTCCAAGTAGCTGGAACTACAGGCGAGCGCTACCACAACCGGTTAATTTTTTGATTTATTGTAGAGATGAGGTCTCGCCAAGTTGCCCAGGCGGGTCTCGAACCAGCGGGCTCAGGAAATCCACTCACCTCAGCCTCCCAATGTGCGGAATTACAAGCTGAGCCACCGAGCCCGGCTGAGAACATTATTTTAATGAGAACTTATTTTTCTATCAACTTGAGGTATTATAACATGTAAAACCTTTAAGACAAATGAGTTAGAATTCAGGCTTAAAAGAATCAAAATAAATTACTTTCTCAAATACCTCCAATTCTTCTATTAGCCCCAGAAATCTCATACCACATATTTTAGTCTAATCATATCACTTCACTTTCCAAATTTTATGTCTTATTATATATACCATTTTCTCTTTAACTGAAGGGGAATTAAAATATAAAATTTTAAAACAGGAATTGTATCAATAAAGAATGAAATAAATAAGAACCACCTCTTTAAAACAAACCTTCTCCTCTGCAGTTAATTCAATTGGTACTTGATTAGGGGATTGCTGTTCAGTGCCTGGAGATACATTTTTTGAGCTGAAAAATAATAAAATTAAATTATTTCAAATGTTTAAATACAATTATCTAATTCATGAATCATTAGACTTTCACTCTCAGAAAGGTTAGATAAGATTATATTACCCTTATAGAACTGGTGATTTTTAAAACTGATGTTTTTTTCTAGAAAAAGCTCTGGAAGGTTTAAGAAATTAGAAAGAAAAAACTCATAGATGATCAACAATCAATAGCATAATGATATAAAGGTACTAAAAAGTAGGCAACCAGTGTATCTTCTTTTCTACCTTCTACACAGAAGAAGGAAATACAATATATAGATTCCTCAGCATTGATCTCAATGCTGCTGCTCTAATCAATGGGAAAGAAATTTTCTCAATAAAATGCTGTGGTCATCTACTGCCCATCAACTAAATGTTTTATGATTTATCTTTTCCCCTTAGTCCCCTGCCCCCAAACCAGCTAAAATAAGTATGTAGAAACAAACAGGTAACTCTTTTACCTGTGCAATGCCTATAAGTCAGTATATTTTGAATCATTTAAACAGCAACAACAAAAACCTCAGAAGTTAAAAGAAAAAAACTGAAAATGAACCTAGGCAGAAGAGGCTTCTTTGGACACAATTCTTCATTAACTTGTAGGATGAGTCTCGGAGGAGATTCTGTATTGGCTTTGCCAAGCCAATTTCTACCCTATCAAAAGCAAAAAGAATCATTTATTGCACAGTGAGAAAATTAAGTCAAACAGGTACACTTAAACATTGTTTACCTTTTTTGTAAGGGTGCAAATTTTTGCAAATTTGTTATGTCCAGGAACTTCTGTCAAGAATCCCTCAGTTATAAGCTGACGGGAAAAACTTTTCCACCAACTCTCTGTTTGATCCTTGCCAGTGCCAAAGAAGTTGTGACTGTGATATTTATGTGCAAGACGCTGAGAATTCTGAAATGAAAAATGAAATCAGTATTTGAAAATACTTAATTAAACAGGCTAAGTAAAACACAAACCCATCTATTGATCCTTTGAATTTAACACTAACTTTCAGCTTTAAAACCCTACAAAATGTTGAGTAAAATGGAAGATGGCCAACAAGAAGCAGCTAGTGCAAGTCTCTCACAGTGAACCAAAACAGAGAGAGTGCCTCAACACTCAGAAAGGAATGAGACCAGCAGCATGAGACACCATGGTCCATCCAAGAAGCAACAGGACCCAGTGTGCAAAGAATAGAAAAATCAATCAGCCTGGCTGGAGACACAGCACACTCATCCAAATCACCAAACAAATCACAGAGGAGGAGGTGACTGAGTGGAATTCAGGAGGTCTGTGCTCCTGCCAAAGACTTAGAAGCCCTGTCTTGTAGGACTCCAGTCCCTCACAGGAAACTGCCTTACCCATAGCTGTGCTCTGTTGAAACCCACATGGAGTGGTCCGAGCAAAACAGCCCTTAGTGGCTATAGTCACCATTTCCTAGAAACTGACCTCTTGTTGACAGCTGCATTCTAGCCACTCTGGGAGGAACCAGAAAAGTCCTGAAGCTTTCAACTGGAGCAACTATGGTGAGAAAACCTGGGGACTGCTATATTTTTACACTCTAAACACAAACTGCCTAAGGCAAAGGAGGGGAAGCGGGGCAGGATCCTTGATCAGAAACCCTTCTGTAAAACAATGTTACCTCAGCAGCCAGGGGACCGCTTACCAATCCCCACTGGGTTAGCCAATTGTGCACAGAGGTGGGTAGCTGGAATGCTTTGCGCCTCCCCCAACCCCCTCCAGGCTCAATACTGACAGGGAACTTGGGTAGTACCTATAGCCCCACTCATCACCTAGGTCTTCTGTATACTTCCTTGGGGCAACACAGACCAAGCAGAAAGACCAGAGGCACCATCGCAGCTGACTGTCTTCCACAAGAACCACCTCCTGGTTGGAAGTCAACTGGCACAGCACATTACATCTGAGAATATCTCAGTTACCACCACTATCTGAGCCACTCCGGCCCCTCAGGATGCCTTGAGCCTGTGCAAATACCCAGCAGAGCACTACCACAGGTAGCAACTGAGAAGCCCATCACACCAAGGAAGCCCTAAAGAGTCTACATAATCTCCCTGCTAACCTTATTAGAGCTGGAGTTTGCAACCGCCAGTGTGAAATCAAAGAATGGGTCGGCCTGGTTCAGTTCTACCTAACATCCCCTCTGACTCTCTAGAAATAGCAGCAAATTTACAGCATTCTAGGGTAATGGCAACCCCACAGGGAGCCATCCTTTTGGGCTCGGGCTAGCACAAGGAATAGAATCCCACTCCTTCCCTGCAAAGAATTTCAAGATTCCTACAGATGGACAGAGGTGCACGTTTCATCTGAAAATGTGGAACAGAATAGGGACATAACAGAAAAGTGAACTGTTTTCCTGCCAACCTACTAGTAGAGCTTAAGTGGCTCCCCCACCATCCCTGATAAAAACAACACACTTCACTGAGAACACCCCCAACTGCCCTCATGAAGACTGAGGAAGGGATATTGTGTATAACCACCTGCTTCGTCTGGACTCTAACCAAAATGAAATCTTTGAAATTCCAGAGGTAGAATTCAAAAGGTTGATTTTAAAATTGCTCAATGAGATCCAAGAGACAGTTGAAACCAACATAAATAAATTAAATCAAAACAAAACTATTCGGGACATGAGTCAAAAATGCTCCAAAGAAATAGACACTTAAAAAAATAAACAAGCTGACTTCTGGAAATTACTCATTTAAGGAAGTACAAAATGCAGTGGAAAGTTTTAACAGTAGGCTAGAACAAGTAGAAGAAAGCATCTAAGAACTTGAAGACAAGGCTTTCTAAATAATCCAATTAGACAACAACAATAAAAAAAAAGAATCAAGAGAATGGAGCAAAGTCACCAAGAATTTTAAGACTGTGTAAAACATCCTAAGAATTACAGGTGTTCCTATAAGAAGAGAAAGGAACAAGTTTGGAAAGCCTGTTTGAGGGAATGATTGAGGAAAACTTCCCTGGTCTTGCCAAAGATGTAAACATCTAGATTCAAGAAGCCCAAAAAGAGCCGGGCTCGGTGGCTCAGCCTGTAATCCCGCACCTTGGGAGGCTGAGGTGAGTGGATTGTCTGAGCCCACGAGTTCGAGACCCGCCTGGGCAGCGAGACCTCATCTCTACAATAAATCAAAAAAAATTAGCCGGGCGTGGTAGCGCGCCTGTAATTCCAGCTACTCGGAAGACTGAGGCAGAAGGATCGCCGGAGCCCAGCAGATCGAGGCTGCGGTGGCCGGGAGCGGCCACTGCACTCCAGTCTGGGTGACAGAGTGAGACTCCAACTTACAAAAAAAAAAAAACCCAAAAAACTCTTGGAAGATTCATTGCAAAAAGGTCATCCCCATGGAACAAAGTCATCATTTTATGCAAAATGAATGTGAAGAAAAAAATTATAAAAGTAGTGAGGCAAAAGCATCAAATAACGTACAAAGTTAAACCAATCAGATTAACAGCAGACTTCTCAGTAGAAACCCTACAAGCAAGAAGAGACTGGAGCCCTATCTTCAATCTCCTCAAACAGAATAACAATCAGTTAAGAATTTTGTATCATGCAAAACTAAGTTTCATAAATGAAGGAAAAATAAGGTCTTTCTCAGACAAGCAAACATTGAGGGCATCTGTCACTACTAGATCGGTTCTACAAGAAATACTCAAAAGCATTCTAAATATTGAAACAAAAGATGTAAATACACCAGTAGAAAAACAATGGAAATCATAAAGCTCACAAGCCTTATAGAACACCAACACAATAGAGAGATAGAAAAAAAGAAACCAGGTAACAACCAACATGATGAATGGAATAGTACCTTACATGTGATTATTAACCCTGAATGTAAATGGTTTTACTACTCACTTCCAATATATAGACTGGCAGAAGAGCACAATCCAAATATCTGTTGCCTTCAAGAGACCCACTTAACACATAAAGACTCCCACAAACTCAAGGTAAAGGCATGGAAAAAAATATTCCACCCAAACAGAAACTGAAAACAAGCAGGATTAGCAATTCTCATACCAGTTAAAACAGACTTTTAATTACAACAATGGAAAATGACAAAGAAGGGTATTATATATGAGGAGGGAACCAAAAATTGAATTTATTAAAAATTGTGTATTTATTCTTATGTGTTTAAACTTCAGTCATCTTCAAAGTACTCTCTGGTGTGATATAACTATCGAGATGATCTTTTCACTGCTCAAAACAGTTTTTGATCTTGTCAACTTTGATACCTTTTAGTGCTTCTGTCATTTTTTGTTTCACCTCTTCCACACTGGCAAAACATTTCCCTTTGAGGACTTTTTTCATTTGGAGAAACAAAGAAAACATTGCTTGGGGCAAGATAAGGTGAATAGAGAAGGTAAGGCACAGGAGTCATGCTGTTTTGGATCAAAAACTGCTGAACTCTCAATCACAGATACACTTATAAGCCATCCATCAATGCATCAAGAAATGGGCAAACATGTTGAAAGAACCTAAAAAAAAAATTCACTGAGGCCAAATGTAGCCTCTCATAACAATGCTAGCTGGTACACTGAGGTTGATGAGTTCCTAGAACACTTTCCTAGCAAGGGAAGCCTGAACTAAAGGGGCTCACCTTTTAAAAATAAGTCCTGGGCTGGGCTCAGTGGCTCACCTTGTAATTCCAGCACTTTGGGAGGCCAAGGTGAGTGGATTGCCTGAGCCCGCGGGTTCAAGACCCACCTGGGCAACTTAGCAAGACCTCATCTCTACAATAAATCAAAAATTTGCCAGGCGTGGTAGCGCACGCCTGTAGTTCCGGCTACTTGGAAGGCTGACGCAGAAGGATCACTGGAGCCCAGTAGAGCGAGGCTGCAGTGGCCAGGAGCGTGCCACTGCACTCCAGTTTGGGTGATAGAGTGAGACTCCAACTCAAAAAAAATAAATAAATAAATAAAAATAAGTCCTGTAATTTTGGGTCCCCCTTGTAATGGCAAAAGGATCAATCAAACAAGAAGATATAACAATTTTAAATATATGTGAATCTAATACCAGAGTGTCCAGCTTCATAAAACAAATTGTATGTAACTCAATAAACATAATCCATCATATAAACAAGTGTAAGACCAAGAATCACATAATTACCTGATCAGAAGCAGAAAAAGCATTCAATAAAATACAACATCTCTTCTTGATTAAAACTCTCAAACACTTATATATCAAAGAAACACTCTTCAAAATATTAAGAGCCTTCTATGAAAAACCTGCAGCCAACATCATGTGTAACTAGAATAATCTGAAAGCATTCTTTTTTAGAACTAGAATATGTCAAGAATGCCCACTCTCACCCCTCCTATTTAACATAGTACTAGAAGTCCTAGCTAGAGCAATCAGTCAGGAGAAAGAAATTAAAGATATCCAAATAGGAAAAAAGGAAGCTAAATCATCCTCTTTGCAGATGATATGATGCTATACCTAGAGAACTTGAGAGAGTCTGTTAAAAACTTACACTGATAAATGATTTTGATAAAGTCTCAGGATACAAAATCAATGCACAAAAAAAAATTGCATTTCTATACATCAACAAGGTGGCTGAGAATGAAATTAAAAAAACACAATCTCATTGACAATAATTGCAAAAAAAACCCTCAGCACCCATCACCAAGGAGGTGAAAAACGTTTACAATAAGAACTACAAAACACTGCTCAAAGAAATCAATGACAACACAAACAAGAGAAAGAACATCCCACACTTATGGATTGGAAGTATCAAGATTGTCAAGATGTCTATCCTACCCAAGGTAATCTACAGATTCAATGCAATCCCTATCAAACTACCAGCATTATTTTTCACAAACCTAGAAAAGGAAATACAGAAAATTGATAAGGAAGCAAAAAAGAGCCCAAATAGCTAAAGTTCTCCTCAGCAAAAAGAACA